TCCGCGCCCGCCGCGCGCGCGGCGGCGGCCTCGGGGCCCCCGCCTGCCCGCGCCGCGTCCGCCAGCCGCCGCCCCTCCTCGCGCGCCGCCTCGGCCTCGGCGCGCCACCGCTCCGCCTCCGCCTTGGCGGCGCGGCCAGACTCTAGAAGTGCAACCACATCGCGCTCGCGCTGACTCAGCGCGCCCTCCAACGCATCCCGCTCCGTCGCCAGCGACGCGGCACGCTCGCGCTGCGCCGCGGCGGCCGCCTCTTCCTCCTCCGCGCGCGCAACCGCCGCCGCCTCGAGCGCCGCCGCGCGCTCTTGGAGCGCGCCCGCCGCCGACTCCGCCGCAGCCAGGCGCCCCTCCGCGGCCGTCAGCTTCTCTGAGAGCAGCTGCTCGGCAGCTGCCGCCTCCGACAGCCTCGCCTTGAGGGCGCCCACCTCCGCCCCCTGTGCGCCCGCGCTCTGCCTCTCATCCTCCAGGGCCGCCCTCAGCGCCGCCGCCTCCGCCGCAGCCACCTGCCGCTCCTGCTGGGCTGCCTGCACGCGCGCCTCCGCATCTGCCTCGGCCGCGGAGAGCTGCTCCTGCGCCGCCTGCAGCCGCTGCGCCCCCTCGGCCGCCGCCGCCTGCAACGCCTGAAGCGCGGCCTCCAATGTCCGCACCTCTGCCGCGGCTGCGGACCGCTCCTCGGCCGCCCGCGCCTCCGCCTCCCTTGCGCGCACCTCCGCCGCCGCCTCTGCCGCCGCGCGCGCCTCCCGCAGGGCCTCCTGCAGCGCAGCCGCCCGCTGCGCCGCCGCATCCCTCTCCGCCGCGAGCTTCAGGAGCTGCGCCTCCGCCGCCCTCAGCCGCCGCAGCTCGCCCTCCGTCGCCGCCGCAGAGGCGGACGCTGCCTGGAGAGCCTCCTGCAGCGCCGCTGTGTCTCTGGCCGCCGCGTCCCGCGCCTGCGCGGCAGCCTGCCCCTGCGCCTCCGCTTCCCGCAGCTGCTCCTGCAAACCCTGCTCCGCGGCCGCCGCCTGCGACCGCGCCTGCTCCAACTCTGCTTGCAAGGCCGCGGCGCCGCTCGCCGCGGCGTCGCGCTTGGCCGTAATCGCTGCCAGCTGCGCCTGCACCTGCTGCAGGCGCTGATTGCTGCTATCAGCCGCAGCCGCCGCCGCCTGCGCTTGCTCCAGCTCAGCACGCACTGCTGCTGTGTCGCGCGCAGCGGCGTCACGCTCCGCGGCAGCCGTGGCCAGCCGCGCAGCGGCCTCGGCTTGGGCGACGTCCAGCGCAGCGTGCATTGTTGCGAGCTCCCTGGCCGCCGCGTCCCGCGCCTGCGCCGCGGCCCGCCTCTGCGCCTCTGCTTCCCACAGCCGCTCCTGCAAACCCTGCTCCGCGGCCGCCGCCTGCAACCGCGCCTGATCCAGCTCTGCTTGCAAGGCTGCAGCACCGCTGGCTGCGGCGTCGCGCTCGGCCTCAGCCGCCGCCAGCTGCGCCTGCGCCTCCTGCAGGCGCTCATAGCTGCTGTCAGCTGCGGCTGCCGCGGCCTGTGCTTGCTTCAGCTCTGCCTGAAGCGCAGCTGCGTCGCGCGCAGCAGCGTCACGCTCCGCGGCAGCGGCGGCCAGCTGCGCAGCGGCCTCGGCTCGGGCGGCGTCCAGCGCAGCGTGTAGCGCCGCTGTATCTCTGGCCGCCGCGTCCCGCACCTGCGCTGCGGCCTGCCTCTGCGCCTCTGCTTCCCGCAGCTGCTCCTGCAAACCCTGCTCCGCGGCCGCCGCCTGCGATCGCGCCTGATCCAGCTCTGCTTGCAAGGCGGTGGCGCTGCTCGCCGTGGCGTCGCGCTCGGCTGCAGCCGCCGCCAGCTGCGCCTGCGCCTCCTGCAGGCGCTCATAGCTGCTGTCAGCTGCGGCTGCCGCGGCCTGTGCTTGCTCCAGATCTGCCTGGAGCGCAGCCGCGTCGCGGGCGGCGGCGTCGCGCTCCGCTGCAGCGGCGGACAGCTGCGCCTTGAGAGCGCCCTTCTCCCGCCGCGCCTCCCCAATGACAGCCGCCGCGTCGGCCCGGGCCGCCTCGAGCGCCCCCTGCAGCGCCGCTACCTCCCGCCTCGCCGCCTCCCTCTGTTCAATGGCGTCCCGCAGCTTCCCCTCAGCTTCCGCCAGCCGCCGCCCCTCCGCCGCCGCCCACGCCTGAGCCTCCTGCAGCGCGGCCCGCAGCGCCGCCGCCTCGCCGGCGGCCGCGGTCCGCTCGCG